AAATAACGCAGGAGAATCTTATCCTGACGCAGTATCCGTTATCATCTTGCTTTCTCAGTTTCGGTTATCAACTCTTAGCAGTATCCGTTATCATCTTGCTTTCTCAGTTTCGGTTATCAACCATGATGCCTGCGGCTGCTGACTGCCAGAATTTGTGTACTGGCAAGCTTCTTGACTCTTTCATGGTTCCGGAAACACGGTTGGATACTTCATGTGGGCCCGAAAAAGTTAGTGAACCTAGGAAATGTCTACTGGACTGATATTGAGGCCCTAGAGATTTTCTAATAAGAACTTCTGATCTTCCAGCTGACAATCCAGACGGTTCAACCGGAACTGACCTTAAACGGCGGCTCGCACCCACCCGATGGACCCAGGCAAAGTATTTTTTCAGAAATGTGACCTGAATAGTGAGAGGCTACTTAAATTTCAGTTCCTGGTTGACCGGTTTCACGTTTTTCCGGTGCCCAGCCACTAATTCCTAAAGTGGCTTTAAACTTATGTTACGGTTGCAGAAACCGATTTTTCAGCTTTTGTCCGGTTATTCCGTCAGTTTTAAGTATAAAATTACCCAAAACATTTTCGTGGGGTAATTTTGGATGATGATTACGATTCTGGTTTTATATTTTCGAAAAATTGCGATTTTAAAAAGTTATAGCTAGATTTTTTGGTGGCTTTATACTTATGTTACTTATTTTTATACTTATGCACTGTATATCATTTCACCAGTTAAATAAAAACTTTACAAAGCAAAAAAACTATTTTCTGTTTCAACGAAGTACTTTTTTGTTGGTAGTTGTTTGTAATCCATTTTATTGGCAAATTATTAACACATTATTCTATACTTTTCTAGAATTAGGTATCTTCTAAGCATTCTATTAGGTTGGAAGGAAAGTAACCGTCCCTTGTTTTATTTGTGAATAATACAAAAGAAGGATTAATCCAAGATTAGCAGTATGCACCGTCGTGGTCCACGACATGTTGGCAATGTTCAGATAACTTGTGGAGACAATACCTTCAAAAGCCAGCTAGCCGCGAATCAAAGTATTCATTTTTCCTGTTTTTCACATAAATGGTGCAAATTTTCGTATTCTCTAGATGAGGTTGTATCTCTCCGAATATCCAATAATCTGATAGAGCTCAGTCGGGACTATAAGTAGGTGAGGGAGAACGGTCCCGCTGAAGCTGCTCAGGTCTGACTTGACTGCAGGTAAAGTCACGCCGCACCTGAGCCACTTTGGCTGGACGGTTCTCTTTTACCCTCGTTAAAGACCTGATTCAGCTCTATCAGATCATTGGTTATTCAAAAGTATACAACGGCATCTGGAGTTTAAGGACTTTAACACACTTGATGCATGAAAAAATGGACTGGAGGGATACTTTGGCTTGCCACTAGATGGCTTTTGGAGGGATGGTACCCACAAGTTACCTGGATTATTCTTGTGTTTGTGTTATTTACTAATAAAACAATGGACAGTTACTTTCCTGCCAACCTAATATTTTCAAGGGATTCTTCAAAAATTTCCATATTCGTTTGTGTTTTTTCATACCAATATTTCAAAACAGTTTTCAAATTAATATTGGAACTACAATAAAAAACTTTCTTCGGTTTCTTATTATTCAACTTTAAAAAAACATTTTTCTGTTTCGTTATGCTTGTTTTTAGAGAGATTCTATTGTATTTCCAGTGCTTCTACAATTTGAAAAAACAGAAATACTCACAAATTGCGCCATCGACAGTACCAATCCAGCAAGAAACTGTCCCAAATACAAATTCCGTGTCATATCGGCTCCATTTAAATCAGTGATGTAGACAGCTAATCCCACATAAAAGTACCTAAAATCACAATCGAATCTGAGCAAACCAAAGAAAAACTCACATGAACAGGATCATAAGAAAACTAGTTCTGAGCTTAGGATTCATCAGAATTCGTTTCGGTGTCACTTTCTCAAATGCAACCATTTCGTAGTTATTATGATGATCTGCTGATACTCCACTGATTCGTTCAATTCGTTTTCTGGCTCTAGAAGCTTCTTCATATTTGTCTTTTTGTTCCAACCAAATTGGACTTTCAGGAAGCCACCAAAGAATTGGGAGGGCTAGTGAAGATATTGATGCGGATACAAAGGTGGTTCGGGTCCATTCTTGTGATATGTAAGCGAAGAGAACTTGGATCATTCGAGCGTTTGGCTGGAAAAATGGGAATATGGATTGATAAAGTGACGGAAATTCAGATGATCACAAAGTTTAAGAACAATCCAAATATTTGAACTTGTTGAAACATAAAAGTAAAAACATTAGCTTTTTCCGAAAGTAAAGATTTGTTTTTCACGATGACCTGTTATTCTCTACCCTACCATAAGAAGAACACTCATGCTTTCAAATTTGACCTTATTTAGTTTCTTGTGAAAGATTAAAAAAAAAAAGTTCGCTGATGAAATTTTTTTTGTGCTTTTTGGATTGTTTGTCTGTTTGATCAAAAAATATATAAAAAACGCGAAAAAAATTTTTTTGATCGAAAAAAATCACATAAGGGTCCCCCCTTATGTGTTTTTTGGAAATTTTCAAAACTTGTGTAATGACAGGCCCCGCCGGCACAAAACGTTGTACTTCTACAGTGCCCAATTTGAATATCAACAGAATTGTGGGGCATTTTATAAAGTGTAGGTTCTCAGACTCAATGTTTCATTGAAATGACTTTAAAACAAAGAAATATT